TAAAATGTCTTTTCTTCATCTGAATTAGATGTGAACAATAAGAGCACCCACCGAGGATGCTTTGATGATTCGTTCACAGCTAGGCCAGTTTCCGACACAACACTTGTGTAAGAAGAATCAAATGGATGATTATTGAGGATGGATGGATGAATGAGCCAGCAGCCATATCACCCTGCAACTCACAATTGGTAACCCACTGATGCTAAGCAGGTGTGAGCCTGGTCAGTACCTGGATGGGATACCTCCTGGGAAAAACTAAGGTTGTTGCTGGAAGAGGTGTTAGTGGGGCCAGCAGGGGGTGCTCACCCTGCGGTCCATGTGGGTTCTATTGCCCCAGTATAGTGACGGGGACACTATACTGTAAACAGGTGCCGTCCTTTGGATGAGATGTAAAACTCAGGTCCTGACTCTCTGTGGTCATTTAAAATCCCAGGGCATTTCTCGAAAAGAGTAGGAGTGTAACCCCGGCGTCCTGGACAAATTTCCCATTGGCCCTTACCAATCTTGGCCTCCTAATAATCCCCATCTATGAATTAGCTTCATTACTCTGCTCTCCTCCCCACTGATAACTGATGTGTGGTGAGCGTTCTGGCGCACTATGGCTGCCGTCGCATCATCCAGGTGGGGCTGCACACTGGTGGTGGTGGAGGGGAGTCCCCATTACCTGTAAAGTGCTTTAAGTGGAGTGTCCACAAAAGCGCAATATAAGTGTAAGCAATTATTATTATTATTATTATTATTATTATTAAAATTATATTTGCAAAGCTCTGAGGCTAACACTGAGGATGCCTGCGATTTAAAAAAAAACAAAACACCTGATTACCATCAACATTGCAGAGTGTAGATAATGGATATTTTCAATCATTTTAACTGAAATGAATTGAGATTTCTAAAAGGAAGAACTTCAAGTCACACTGAAAGGGCTGGGTGTTAATCTAAAATACTATGGAAACTCAAATGGATTCATCTGTAGGTGTTTTACTGTATATTTTGTCATATGTTTATGTTGTCTTTGATAGTAATAAAAATAGCTCTCAAATACAGATACAAGGGCAATTTAAATGTTTCTGTGGGCTATGAGGAACCTTAACTAAACTATAGTACATCCTGCAGGGTACAATTTGCAGCCTACCTCAAACATTGTGCAGCTGCGTAAGCCTGTATCTTTGTAATGTACCTGTTGTAATCGTAACACAATGCAAGCACCTGAGGAGACAGCACAGAAATAGTAGTTATCTCAGAAATCCCGTGAACACTTGACTAAGAAAATAAAAAATATTTTTGATTTGGCTCCACAAAGTCCATGCCATTAGGTGTTTCACATTCTGAGACACATTGTTTTTGAAATGTATTGGCACTGATGCAAGTAATTAACAGCAAATATGCAAAATACAACAGGAACACCTAAATGTAATAAAATTAAGATTTGTGTTGTGGCTGTAATCAGGATCTTACCGTACATACATCAGGAATTGTTTCATATTTCACAGGTTTACACCATTGAAACTCTGATAATGTCTTGGATTAACATAAAATTATTTAACTGATTGTTTTTTCATTAAAAGACAGCACAGACAAGGGTTTTGTAGGGAAGACATTCAAGTGTCTTACATAGGCATTATTATTTTAGCATTCATCTCAAATATCCTTTTAGTTTCATTTAAATGTTTTTTTTTCGTGACCACTCTGTGTTAAACAATCTCCATTTTAAGACAATAGGCTTCAAACAATGTGATTGGGTCTCACACCAAGTGTCAGAGATGTTTTGTTTGATATTTTCTATACAGTGACAGCCATAATCACTTTCGCATTTAAGGCTGAAAGGTGGCATTTGAAATTTACAAATGTATCTTTGGATTTTTTCTTCTGTTACATAAATGCTTGATTTTATTTTTTATGTTTCAAATACAGTATAAATAATAGTTCAGATTAGGTTTTGACATTATTTTATCGTGCTGAATTACACAATTATGTATATTTTTTTCTGCAATTACAATTCAAATAAGTATCCTGCATCAAATATATTTTTTAAAATAAGGATAGTAATTTGTTGCTTCTGATAGAGCTTTGCTTTTCCAACTCAGATATTTTTTCTCAGTTTAGCATGCATATGCATTGGGGATTGTATGTGAAATTTGCTATTCACAAGGTGTAGTGAAATTAGATAATTTCTCCATCACCAGTCCTTGCCTGGGGATGCTTTGGGGCTGAATACATTGCAGGGTAGCAGCCATTTGCTCTGGTCAAAACTGCATTTCACCGAGTAAGCTGAATGGGTTTTTAATTACAGCTGCGATGTCCACATACTGTCAGCACAGCCCAATACAGAGATTGTATTGATTTGACCTTTAACTTTGATGCAATGGCATGAACCGGGCCACTTTTTTTTCCTTCTGTAGATTTATATCTGGTATGCAGAAAGAATTTCTCAATCCACCTTGTTGTGTATTTCTACCTTGCAAAGCATGTGTGGTGTGTATTGTAATTGCATTCTAAAATATAAGTAAAAAGCACACTTTTAATTATTAATCCTTTTGAGCCTGAGGACCTGCAGACTTTCTTTGACTCGGCTGTTTAGACAGCCTGCTGTGGCTATTGCAGTTTAAAGGCTGATGTTACACAACTAAGTTCTGTCCAGTTCCTAAATACTGTGGAAGACTTTTCCTCTGCCTCTATGCCTCCTCCTCACCTCCTGTCTCTTTCTCATCTAACTGTGGTTTCCTTTCACCACCTTAACTGTGAAGATTCAGCCACTGGATCCTTCAAATTATTGTCATAACTTGTAGGGCTTTGTCTTAGACCTCTCTTTTAAACAGGAAAAATTGTCTGAAGATGAAACAATTACGCTTCTTGCAAAGGCTGAAATTGTTTCTCATCCTTTTATGTAAATTTTCCTGAATGGCGATGCATGGATATGCATGGATAAAGCACATATTTTTTTAATATAAATTAAATTACTCTTTTTTACCATTGCATTCTGATTCAAAATTGACTTTGATTTTCCAATGTCCTCCTTGTGCGCTGAAGGACTTAACACTCTCTGCTATCTGCTAAAATGTTTAATTTTTGTGGTGGCTGGGATTTTGACTGATTCAACATGTATAAGCAAAAAAGCAAAATAACTCACATACGTCTATGGCCTCACTTGTGATTAGAGTCTTATGTTTTAGTCATATAAAGCATTAGAGCCTGCATTGTTGGTCTTTATTTACCTTGCCTTTCTCTGTCCTTTTGACACTGAAGTTTAGTCCTAAACTGTTCATGTTCTATATTGCAGTCAATTATCTGTATATATATATATGTATACAGATATACGTATTTTTATTACATATTTTCTGTGTATTTCCTTTGACAAAACAATATACAGTACTGGCTTATTAAAGTCAATGAGATAAGAAACACATCTTTGTTTATACAGTAATATTAGAATCATTGATGCTGTGTTTTGATTCAATCTCAGTGCTGTACATTCTTTTAAATCGGAGATCATGGTGTTGTATCTTAGTATCTTAAAACACTGTTTTATCAATATAACCTTATGGCAGTGAAATTGTTTCATGTTACACCAGTATTAATAGAACCATGACAACTTACAATATGTTTCTTAACCACTGAATACTGCTATGATGCTGCCAGGCTTTAACACTATAAGAGCAGTTATCTGTATAGGTCAACAGAATTGAGCAGCACCTTTTAAGTAGAAGCTTTCCATTTTAACACATAACCGTTTGTGTAACAAGAGCTATTTTATGCTAGGAATATGGCTGTGAAAACAAGAAAAAACTTTTTTTACAATGTTGAATAACTTATTTTTTAACATAAATTTTAGACCTTGATTGAATTTCAAAGCACAGCCCATGGCTTAAAATCAATTTTGAATGCAATTTAGCTAAGAGATTACATAGAGATGAACACCACCCCTTCTGCTGAACATAATAGTAAGTGATTGTGTTAGAGGACAACATTATTTCTGTAAATTACTTGTTGCCTCTTCCTATATTTGCACATCACTCTGTGCACTCTGCTCTGTCCAATGGAGAATACACTTACTGTTGTTAAAGCAATAGGAGATATAGATCACATCAGTGGGAGCCACATTGCACTGTTGGTCTCTTACAGTCTTCAGCCAGTAGCCGCTGCATTATAGTGGATACATTCAAACACTCATTTTTTTTAAAACACTTCCATATTTGCCATGCTATTATTTCAAAATCTAGTCTAATAAAGGTACTCTGTGATCTTGGTATAATCAATGGTCCTAAGGAGTCATTTTCATGACCTGTGCTGTATACTGTATCTGGCCTTTGTAACAGGACACAAGTCAACTTATTCTTTATGTTGGGGTGACGCACGCAGGTGCACTCTGTTTCTTCCTCAAGCATTGTAAAGTGTTCAAGTGAAACTAACCTTTCCAACTGAGAATTCCTTATAGTGGTTATGATGAAGCCCATCTAGTTATTTCAGCTTTTTCCTCACAATCTAGCTTGTTTAGCTTTGTGCAACATATTGTACAGTATATTATAGGAACCTTACCTACTTAAAGAAAACACAAATGGGGGACAGTTGTATGCAAGGCTGCGCACAAAAATAATAGAAGTTGTGGGTAACAGTTGTGCTCTACTACTAGTATTTTTTTTATTATTTTCTTGTTACATATATAAATCGTTGAATGAACAATTCGGGAACATAAATCGGAAATCTGGAAATCTGTGAACATAATTCACACAGTCACTCTGTTAAAGCAGGTGCTTTAGAATTGCTTGGAGGCTTTCAAAACTGCTAACAAAAAAGATTCTTGGTAATAAAAATAATAATGATAAGAATATATTGTGTTTGTATTTTATAGTTTGTTGAAGGTTCAAGGTTTATGTCTGTCGGAGCGGTGTGATGACAGTTTGTCGAATCAAATTATTTTATTCGTTTTTTTTTTATTTTAATCCCATCTATATTATAAGCAATTTCCCTTCTCAAATGTCAAAATTTTATTTCTTTGTTTGAAGGTATGGCTTTGGTCTCCTTGATGCAGGCTTAATGGTCCAACAGGCTCTTGAGTTTGAAACTGTCAGACCTCAGAGAATATGTTCAGAGGATGTGTTTTTGAATCCTGTAAGGTATGTCAAACTGCAATAATTGCAAGAACAAATAAATAAATTGTTATTGAATAGTTCCTGTAATTTAATGATTTCTTATATTTCTCTGTTCTTTTTTTCTAGTTCTCATTCATTTCTTTGCAAAAATATGTTCTTACCACAGGCCATAAATTAGTGTTACCTGTATATTCACTGTATTTAAAAATTTTCCAGAAAATACAAAATATTGTAAATTACAAATAATATAATGTTTTAGACTACATTTTGCTCTTTAGAAATATGGTATGAGGTGATTTTTTTGTGAATAAAAATTAACTTTCCCAAGGAAGCAAGATTGATTTAGAAAACTGAAATCGATTCTGTTTTCTTTCACAACTGCCTGGGAAGCTGTAAAGCTGTGCCAGGCTACAGACCAAAAAAACAAACAGAGGTTAAGTCTTAGATGAAAGGTACAGTAGCAAGCAAAAAAGAATAAACATAATATTTTGGCTGTGTATCTGTCTTCATGTATGTGGAGGAATTCGGTAGAGCGCAGGAATTCACATTCTGTAACGTCACACAGAATAAGTACAAGCAATGTAAAGTTGAGTGTTCAGAATACAGTAAGGAGACATTACACAGAAATGCGATATTGTCACAAGGGGCGGGTGCTATCTTGCAGTTCCAATAAGTAAAAAAGAAAGAAATGTCAAAAATGGCTTGCAAAGTCTACTGTATATCACATAGTCAGAGTAGAATATTAAAAGGAAGAATTGGAGGCTACATTTATTTCAGTGTAGCTTAGCAATTATGCAGTTTCAGTGGGATTACATATTTAATACACCATCCAACGAAACATACATGTATACACACCATTTTTTCTAGGCTTTTATTTTGTTTTTTTTTCTGTTTCTGAAACAGGATTTTGTCCCCTGGTGGTGTTGTGAGTGTGCACATCCAGGCTGAAGCCTGCCGAGGGACAGAAAATGCAATCAACGTTTTGGAACATATTCAGGTGAAAAATGAAATGCTCTCAATTCCCTTTAATTGAAAAAATCAAGGATTTAAATATCTTGTAGAGGGTTAAAACTAAATCCAAATGTAACTTTGCTATGGTGGCTTTGAGTTTCTGTTGCAGTGTTGTGGAATATAGGATAACATGATTATAGCTATCATATCTCTGAAGGTTATTTTAATATAATCTGGGCCTCGGCCCAGGAATTGAAAGTGTGCGGTTTAGTATTACATTTCACATCTATTCACTATAAGGATTATCCAGCAGCTATAGTTCAAATCAATCCATTTGCATATATTGGAAGTGAGAGAAAACAAAAAAGACACATTCTGTTTTAACACAGAACTATTATTATGTTTCATCTTATCTATTATGAAGTGTGATCTTTAAAGTTCTTATCAAGATTCCATCTAAATGGAGGAGTCTAAATATGTTACATTTAATATTGTACTTTTTCATTGTAGTTCAAATTTAGCTTCTTGTAATTCATTAATGCTATATGAAATGGCCATTTATTCCCCACTGAGAAGGCAGGAATGAATATATTTAGAGAACGTAAAGTCGACTTCCCAGCTAAATGCTGATCATTAAAATATTCTTTACGCATTTACAGTAAACCATCATATAGTTATACTGCAGTTAAAATTGTTCAGTTATTTAAAATTCTGATTTTTTTAAGTTTAGATTATCTACAGTCTTTATTAATAGAATATGGTTTGTGCCAAATATCTTGCAAAATGTCTGCTAAAGTTTTAAGCCCCAAAATTAAATGTGCTGTAGAGTGTTGTTGTATCTCAGGAGGGTGAAATGAATTTGCTATAAGGGCTATTTCCAGAAAGGGTACAAACTCCCTGCTGTTGGAGTGTTGCTGTTAGTGGAGTCCTTCTTAGACGCTATGGTTGAATAAACAGAATTGCGGGGGGGAAACACGATGTGAAGAACAGTGTTGCGTTTGTCTGTCTGAGCTCAGGAGAGCACAGCAGATAGAGCAGGAAATTAAAAACCAAAGTGTAGGGCACGAGCAAAGACGAAGAGGGGGCGGACGGGTTGCTAGTTACAGAACTGCGTGCCTTTTTCATAGGCGCTACAGAATCAGGGAAGCAATCTTATGTAAGCACCTACAGCAATATATACTGTATATATTTTGCTTCTCTCTCCTGATGAGATGATAAGCTGCAGGGCAGAGACTGCCCTGTCCATTCACTGCATCACATGCTGGATAACCTGTATCAATCAAAGGTTAGCAGAGATTTAATGTTGGGAAAAATTCAGCATAGATGGCTGGATGGATGGACGAATGGGTGAAAAAAAAGCTTTTATTAAGCAAGTCTTTTGAAAAAAAAAACGGAATAAAACCAGTAATTTCTGCTATAACACACGTTTTTATCATGCAAATGTGATATACTGTAATGTGACTGATTCACTATCATGCAGGTGCGTGTTGGCAGGAACGCAATTCACGTATACCAGAACTGGTCACACGCGTCGAGTAAAAGCGGTTGCGCGGCGGCCTCAGAGTAGCAACACACGCTTGGGATGCGGGCGTATTCTCTCACGCACCGGCGTCGTCTTTGTCCAATTTACGCAGCAAATTCGTGTATCTGTGCTCAGCTACTATATATGTTCATTCTATGGAAATAGTGGCGTAAATATTACTGACACAATAAGAGACAACGGTATGAAGCGTGGAAGGTAACTATAGCTTGATGTTATAAAGCAATATGAGGGAAGCGAAAGAACTCAATAGTGTGTATTGTTAAAAAAGATTTTTATGTAACAGATTGTCTCACTCACCTCCACCGGACAGTCCACATCCATTAGCTACAGATATACAGATGCATATTATGCCTTATTTATTTTCTGCTGTTTTCTGTTTAAGGTGATCACAAAAACATCATGCGGAAGTTGTACATTAAAAATAAAATTAATAATACGACTGATTACTATAGAAAAAAATATAATAATTGTTGTAAATCTGAACTCTCTCTCTATCCCCACCCTTTAATTCCCATTGAACCATTGAGTTTATATTATTGCGTTTGCTTTCAAGGAACGCAGATATGACGTTACAGCAGAAATCGCTGTACAACCATGTCACAGTACATGTACAGTACAACACAGAAGTGATGGTATTGGCTTTGACAGCATGGCCGGGTAGCTTGTTCCAGACCTTCACAACATTTTGGAAAGAACATTGTGGAAAGAAGTGCCTCATTTTCTTAGTTTTAAATGCACTTCCCACTTGTGTCCTCTGGCTTGTGTGTCAGTAATAACACTCAAGAAATCCATTGCATTGAGTTTGTCAGCGCCTTTGAAGACTTTGAATACCTGAGTCAGGTCAAGTCTTAGTCTGCTCTGTTCAAAATGAAGAGATTCAGTTCTCTTAATCTGTCAGTATAGGAAATTATTTTAAGCCTGGTTGCTCTTTACTTGATTGATACCATAGCAGCATATTTTTTGTGTCACAATAGTAGCTTTTTGTAGCATAACCAAAAGTATACATAATATAATATTATGTATATTATACATAATATATAATATAATATAATATACCAAAATACATAATATTCTAAATGGGGTCTTACTAATGTGTTGGTGAAATTTAACAGAACATCCATTGATTTAAATTCTACTTTTAGCTATATACACTGACATTCTGTTTGCATCTTTAGGTGGTGTTCTCAAGCTTAGTGTTTGCTTCTTCAAATTTGATGTTTCACAAATTTTATCCATGGTTTAATTTTTTGCTTGACTTGTGTGTAATATCCTGCACTTGTTTTCATTAAAACATCATCTGTCTGGTGCTCGTTGAGTCTTGATTCTGCCTAAATCTTTTTGACCGTAACTTCCATTAAGGTATCAGACAGATATTGCACAGTTCGTATCATAAAAAATTCAGTGTATGATCATGTGTTTTACTTTATTTGTGACAGCTTCAAGTAAATGTATCAGGGCCACCTCCTTTATGTCAACGACAAGGCAGAGTTTGGGGAAACAAATCGCTGTAAAATAGTACGAACACATGGGTGATGACACAACTCTACAACTAAAGTTATAGGCTAATGTCCAGAGGGCAAACAGTAGTTGAATTATCTATAAACTCATTTCTTTCAATGCTTCTGGGAAACAAAATCTATTTTCCTTTATTGAATGACTGCTTCTATCTAATCTCCTCCTAGTCTGTTGTTAGCATTACCAGCGTCTGCAGAGGTGACCTCAGCATTGACCTGATCTCTCCCTTCGGAACAAAGTCGCGGCTTCTGGGGACGCGACACAATGACATGTCTGGTGCAGGCCTGAAGAACTGGACCCTGATGTCTGTCCATTCCTGGGGGGAGGACCCCCGGGGAATCTGGAAGCTTAAGGTAGCCAATTATATGGGTAGTATTTATCAAATTACTCATTAACTGCTGTCTTTGCATGTGAAAACTGTTCTTTTGCAGCTGTAACAAGAGGTAATGAGTTCATATGATAAGTCAAAAGGTTTAGAAGACTGATTGTTTTGATTCTCATGAGAAGTCCTGCAAATGGAAGAAGGAATTCTCTCCCTCAAAAGGCCTTTTACAACCAGAACAATTTTCAGGCTGTGCGGTCTAATTTAGATGTTGTTTTGAAAATCAGTGGCGAGCTCTGGATGTTACTGCACTCTTCTGTCTGTGGTACAGACTTGTAGCAAAGTAGACAATGGACCCACATCTAGTTGTCAGAGCCAAGGTACTGAGGTGGATCAACACTATCGAAATAATTTTGTGAGCTTTTAGACAAATATAAAGCAATGTCATACAACTCTGTTTGCCAGTCAAAACTCAAATACTGTATTCAGTCAAGCTATGCAGACATGTATTTAAAGAAACAACTTTAGAGATAAGCATTCTGAACTGTTGTAAGTAATCTCTTTTGTTATGCTTTATCTGAGATCAAATCACATACACTCTACACGCATAGGCAAGACCATTGGACACGAATCAGAATACACTCATTTGTACCAAAACCAGCAGAAGTGACTGCTGGCACACTTCCTACTGTGTTTTAGGCGGCATGACTAGATATTTAATATAGCTGAGATAATGGTTCTGGAAGGTGGTCCATGAAAACAAATGTAGAGAATTCCAAAGTAAGGCTTCAGAATTATTTCAGACTCTTGCTCATAGCATTTAGACAGACTGTCTCTGCTATGTGGTTTTTCAGATCAAGGAATTAAATATTGCATGAACTTGGCGCTTCTTGGCAGATCTTATTAACTTAATGAAGGGCAGAGTCTTAACTTTGTGGCAGAGTTATCAAAATCTTATACCTCAAAAACTTAACTTAAACTTTCTTTTGATTTAAAGACAAAAAAATAAATAAAATAAAATAAGAATGCACCTCCAAAGGAGAGGGCAACGGCACTTCAGCAAAATATTTTATTATTAAATCTCAGATTTGTAATAATCATAATCACTCAAAAGATGTTGGTGTCACCATAAACGTTTTAGCAGATATCATGATCTTGAGCCACTGGGACCGATACCTTTTCTACATCCTAAAACCTGGTCTCTAAAGCTCTATTTTTTTTCCAGATGTGGTTTAGGAACTGTTTAGATCATGACCCAGTAGATCAATGTTCAGGATTTCCTGAAACAGATTTTTTTTTCAGATATTTTCAAATGCCAAAAGAAATGTAGCCACATTTACCATAGATGAATTACAGTACCTCTATAATCTTATAGATTTATCCAAATTAAGCAAAGCATTAATTAAGGGAGTTTCATGCCTTTATAATTCTGTAAATGAATTTTCTGTAGTTGTGTTTATGAAAGTGAAAAAATCTATTGCTCTGTTCTGCCCAGAACACATCCATACAAACAAATTAATTGCATAATGCCTTTAGCTTTAAGTTTTGTAAATAATATATTGCTGTAGGTAGTAGTTGAATACCTTTGAGGTACAGTAGATCTTCATAGATTTAATTTAAGAGAAGTGCCTTATTTATTTCATAGTTTACCAAAAATATAAATATGTCTGCAATTTCTATAGCTGTTTTCTACTTTATATTCACTAGCCATCGGAACCAGTTTCAATTTTAATGTAGAGATAAAGAATTAGATAAAAGTGTCTTTTTCAAAAGCTAATTCTAATAATTCTTAGTCCTAAGAAAAGAATTTAATGTCCATTTTCAAGATTTCTACTAACAAAGTATCATAATATATATATAAATAAATAAAACAAACTTAAAGATAGAAATAGTCGGCTGTGACCGTGCTTACAGAGGTATTTGTGGTTGTCCTAAGGGATACAACAATTTCTGTCACAGGCATCACTTCAGAACAGTAGGCGGTTTGAGATATAAGAGATGGGTAAGATAAAAGGAAGGTCTCCTAAGATATGCTGTACCCTTTGTGGGTAATTAAAAATGGTCTTTTCAGCAAGAGGAGTGACTTAACTCTCCGCAGTTGTTGATGCTGACAGGAGAAAGAGATTAATTAAGACACATGAAAAGGAGTAAAAATAAATGTATTTGCTTGTCACAATCAGGAGTTCTGTAAAATTTGTAAAGGGTATATATATTTACACTTAAAGTAAAATCTTTTGTTTTCATGCTTGAGAACAAAACAGCATCAGACAACCTCAACATTGTTTGAGAAATCAAGCCTAGTTTATTTGTAACAGTTTTATTGTACTGGACTGTAGCTATTAGCATAGGACAGACAGCAGTCAGAAGGGGGCTGGTAATGTTGAGAGAACTTTTTTCAAATGGATTTTAGCTTATATTTTATCAGACCGGAATATAAGATTTGAATTGAAAAGCAATACATTTTATTTAACATTTTTCCTATTTGTTTTACATGGTTGGCAGATATGTACTGAAATGCATTTGAAACACAATAAATAATTGTACTATTGGGTCAAATACCAATGTGTTTTGTTTTTAATGCCTTTCAGTATGGATTTCTTTTATAGTTTAAACTTATGATTACTTGGTGGTTAATAACACGGTATGGAGGGCCGTAAGTGAAGGGCTTAATACCTAAGCTATAAGATGATTGGTCATTGTGTTTGGGGCTACTAGAAATTATGTGCTTTCTGATGTTTTTCAGTAACTAAAAGTAACAAATGTTACCGAGAAGTAAAGTAAGCATTAAACACATGCACAATGCATGAACAACAGGGAGGTGGGACTGTTGGCTTTTATTTAAATTTAATCCAATATAAGCTACTTTGCACAGTTACTATTGCTTGCTATACTAAAAACTGTGAGGATTCACTGAGAGCATAAGTACTTTAGTTGTGATTGGCAGAACCCAGTGTTTAATAAACACTATTCCTGTTTACTACTATAACTCAGTCTTGTGGTTTAGTAGAAAGAAGACTGATACTGTAAGTTAGCCCTGCCTCTCAACTTTAAATTCAAAGAGAGCAGCATCACCTGAGAGTGACACCCGGCCCACTAATGTCATAGAAGTGAAGTATACAAGGGGTAAATTATGCACAGTGCATTTTTGCCATGTATGGTTTAGCACACTGTCGTCTAGTTCCGGTATTGGCTGTAGATTTGTGCTTTCTGATGTGTGGAGATAACCGGGAGATGAGTGATCATGCTTCACCATGACTTTTGCACACATGATAGCAATTCTCCTAGTTCCCACCTTTTCTTCATTGGATTAGAAAAATAGCTATGCTTTTGCATGCCAATGTCAGATCATGACTCTTCTGACTTGGTTGAAAGAATGGCCAGTTTTTCGAGACAAAATCAACAAAAAAGGCTTGCTTGGGTGTCATCAGTGACAAGATAAGGCCATTGACATACCTTCCCTCTGATTTCTTTCTTTGTGCTACAAATTGGATCTGACCAGGCCTGTCCTTTTTTAGGTATTGCTATCTGCCTGCAGGTGGGAACTTTCAAAGTGGCAATTATCTGACACACAGCTCTGCTCCAGACTGTTTCGAAGTGCAGTACCTCTATCTCACACTTCAGTACCCTGCCAAGTCATCAAGTCTGAATGTTCTGGACTGTGTTGGCTGAACAGGTTTTGCCTCAGTTTTCCATGAGCAGTTTCTTTGAGGAAATGGAGGTCGCAATTAAACAAGAAAAGATCAGATAGCCCCTCAGAACATGCTGTACACCTTTCAAAGCTTGTTTCCTTGTTGAATCAATGTTGTATCTACTGGCTGTAGTATCCTTATACCAGAAGAGCAGCTTTAGAACACATGTTTTATTTTTTTTCTCCTTCAAACCTTGTAGGCTGTGTTTGTGAGCAAGATGGTTATTTCAAGGGGAATTTACTCTGTAGAACAGGAAACATTGAAGCCATGCAAGTCCTTAATGTTTAATGTTCACACAAGGCCTTTATGTTTAATGATTGATGTGGTAGTGAAGAGACGCCATGCTGCTCCTACAGAGCTGGTCCTTAAGGTGCATAGCTTTTTTGATCTGTTCTTCTGTTTTTGATCTCTGGAAGTTTCTTGATTTTTCTCGAAATTCTTGGCATGGGAACTACAAGTTCTTTTTTTCAGATCCCTTTGCTTACTGTGTTATATGCCTTGTGTCCATAAATTGATCTTCTATGATTCTAAAGGTGTTTAACAGAGATACATAACTATATCCTGGATGCAGGTCACAAAAATGCAATATCTGACTTCAAAATTGAATTTTCAGCTAACACATGGAATATAATTATGTATTAGAAACAGACCTAAAGAAGGGTATATTTGCCTCAGATTGTTTGCATTACCTGCTAGCTTTAATATACAACATTTTTGACCATCAAAATATTGTCATGGAAACATTTTTCTTGTGTTTTCTGTTATGTTTTTTGCAACACGAAATACATTGCGTGTAAAATGTACAAGTGTGTATACAAGAGTCTATAAATGCCTGACATTCATTTTGGCTATAAAGCCTGCAGTGGAAATTCATTGGAAATACCTGGAATGGAAGAACCCACGATTATACAGCTGCACACACAAATACTGTATCTCACACTCAATCATCTGCCATTCTAGTCCCTGTAGGATTGTGTCACAAAGTGTGGTTCAACTATTAGCCTACAATAGACCACAGTAGACTATAATTTCTCTTGATGGAGATATCCAGATCATGACCACATACACAGCCATACACTTTCATTGCCCATGCCTGTCAGATTCTAACAAGCACCCTTATGTTGGTGACAATTGACAATTTATATTGTCAACCAATATCCAATGTAGTTTTCAAAAAAGTTGTCAACTGCCAAAAGAGCTTCCTATATTTTAAACAGAATGGCATCACTCAAATTCAAAATAAATCCTCACATTTGCAATGTCATATACCTGAAAACCACTTGACGTCACCAAAATCTTAACTTGGAAATAAACTCAATGATGTTCACCATTGAACATTAGATATGTGGTGAATTCTGACAAATGCTGCTGAATAATGTAATATGTTTTATTCCAATTTTGTGTGTACGCTATTTGGTCTCCAAAGAGCTGTACTGTTTTTCTTCACAACTGACAATTTAGCTTTTTTGTCATGCTCTTTAGCACTTCTATAATATGCTTGCCACTTAAAAATGTAGGCCTATATTCAAAGCATGATCAACTTTGTTTTGTGATAAGCACTGTAATTATAAGACATTATATGGATATTAAATGTGTATATGTGCTTAGGTCTTTGTTCAAATGATGGTCATGCTATAATTTGTGTCCTTCAGGTGACTGACAACAAAGATACAGTTATCAGGTGTTTTCGGAGTGAGTTTGAACTGGCAGCTGGAGCTGTTCTGAGCATTAAAACGATATTTTATGGAACCTTTGATCCTAAAAAGGAGCTCAGAGGTATGTTACCAGAATTTCTAAATTTGTACATTTAAGTATTTACTATGTTTCTTTTTAGTATTATTTATACTGTACATCTTTTATTATATGCCTGTTGAACAGTTAAAGATAAAGGTAAAAAATAAATATTTTTATTACACATATAACATCAAAAATACTTTAGTCCCCTGTGCTTCTAGTTTGCCATCTTGACTGTATTTATTAAATGCGTATTGTTATGTGTATTATTCAGAAATCTAGGTGTCTTTTATATCCAGTAGATTAGAAGGAAACTTTCTGTTTCAGGTTTTGTCTATACATGTTCTTATCTTTCCTTGTTTTCAAGTCTCAGAAATTATTCCCCCATGGTACCTTTAATGTTGTTTCTTGATTTCCACAATGGATCTCGGTGTTTTTTCTGATTTAGAATAAACAGTTCAGAGCAATGCGATTCAAGCATTGCTTCCATCAGGTGGCTGTGCAAAGGTTCACATAGTCTCGGCTAGAGACCCAAGTGAAATAGCCCTAGGTGTAAAAACACCATTGGGCACCACCAGAAAGCCATAGCCTGACTCAGCAGGGAGTCTGAACTATCCTTCCAGAGACTGGTCAGCTCAGGAGGAAGCTGAGGCTTCTTGGCAATCGAGCAATAATCTTTCAGGTCTGAGTCCAGCTTACTGTGTTTTTTTTTTCCTGCATACACCCTTCGTAAATTAAAAAAAAGGGGGAATTAGAAAATACGTATGTTTTCATGTTTAAAGGTTAGGAAATATATTTTTGCATATATTTTTATATTTTTGCATTATATTTTTGCATTGATAAATTAATGTTGTAGCAAATTGTTTCAAGATTTTAAAGATTAAAAAATAACAGAAAAGCTCAAGTATTACTCACAAGGTAAACCAGACATACTGTACAGCAAACCCATGAAATCATTTCTTTATCTTGATTGCAGTGAAAATTAAAATTCACAGATTATGTCACAATGAATTTGTTTATACTAGTCCTTTATTTTTACTTTAAGTAACTATCCTTAGTATTTAATAAGCCATGTATTTATTTACCTGTGTAAAGTGGTTAATATAAATGAAGAGATGATTAAATCAAAATAGTCATGATAGAAAATACAAGAACTATCATTAAAAGTGAGCAGAATTCTTCATTGAAGAAATATTACCAATTTGTTAAGATCAACTTTTCTTTTAACAACTTGTTGATTCAAAGTTTGATTTTACAATTAAGGTGTACTACTTATTCAAAAATGTAAGGAATTTCCATTCTTTACATACTGTAGTATCATTGCATTAATATACTATATTACTATTTGCCATGTGTTTTTCAGTTTTTAATAAAAAAAATGCTCCTCCCACACAAAATCAAGCACAGGACACCACAGCTGGGGTGTTTATTGATTAAATAATGGAACACAAGTACATTTTAAAATTGTTGTTCAAATCTGGAACTTTCATTTTGTGCAGTGCTGAAATATTTGGGGTTTTTTAATGTGCATGTTATGAATTGTCTAGAAATCCAAATGAAAAAAAAATGTTAAATATAGATCTATGGGTACTGACAAGACCTTTGTACAGTAATATGTTTTGTACAGTGAGAATTGGTAAACTTCAGTCTTCATCTATTCTATTTTTCCTTAGATAATGACCACCAAAAGCTGGTTTCCATGGGAGACACATATCAATTCAACATGGACAGCAAAAGTGATTATTCTCAACAAGATATAATTGAAGAACAGTTTGAAAATGAGAACCTGAATAGGGTTAATGCTAATGATATACCAGTACTGCTCATGAGAAAGGTAAGACCCCAATGATATCAAGTGTTTTAAAACATCATTAAACTGTTCCTTTTTCCATGCAATAGCAGCATATTACATTTGCATTGTCGAATCTGGACATTTAAAAATGTAGATGCTGTTTTGTACATTTAAAATGATAAGAATATGCAAAACAGACAATTACACCCAATCATAGTACTAGTGGATCTAATAGACATACAAATAGCACAATGGTCATACATGGACTAGGAGACACAAGTGGAACTTAACAGGAAGTGAATACGTGTTGGAGAACTGGAGGCATTTCTTCACACGAATAGTGATGGTAATCTGGAGCTAGTCACCTAATTTTGAAGTGAATACCTTGGGTTCTTCCAGGTGCCCTGGTTTCCTCCCATGCTACAAAGACATACTGGTAGGCTGATTGGCTTCTGGGAAAATTGGCCCTGGTGTGAGTGTGTGCATCTGTGTGTGTCCTGTGATGGACTGGCGTAATTTCCAAGGTGCATCTTGGCGGGGATAGGCTCTGGCTCAGCCAATAACCCTGTAAAGATAAAGAGGTTAAATAATGGATGGATGGTAATTTGTTCATCATCCCATGTTGAGATATCAAACAGCTTATATATTACTTCTAAATCAAGACGTATCTCTACTAGAACAAGTTGCAGAATAGATGTCAAATTTTGAGCATTAAATGTAACCCAAAATCATTTCCCTTTCCTACCTTCAGTATAACAGCCTCCTGTGAACGTACAGTATATGATAGGTATTTTAGTCAACCAAATCTAGTACAAAATACTGAAGTTCCCAAAGACTTTTTGTAGCACGTTGTTTAGGTGAGAACACATATTCATATATATATATAGGAACAAGTAATACAGTAGGTTTATTCCATGCTGAAAAAAAGAAGAAAGAAAACACAACATTTCGGCCATGGAGCCTTCTTCAGGTATGAAGAAGCAAAAGTGATTGACACACCTGACACACCTGAAGAAGGCTTCACGGCCGAAACGTTGTGTTTTCTTTCTTCTTTTTTTCAACATGGAATAAACCTATTACTTGTTCCTTCGCAGCCTACGCATGCTGACGCAACTACCCACTACCCACTTCATATATATATATAGTATGATTAATGTGTGAAATAAAAAGGAATCTCGAACATTTAACATGTACATAATTATTTCTCTGGACTTTTACATTCCGTGCATACTGAAATATAAAAGGGATGGGGACTTAGGAATTTTCTGTAAGTAACCACCATTAGCCAGAACCTGTCTGCACAGCTACATCTCATACTTCAAAAGAAGCTATTGTTCAGTTTCATTCCTTGCTTGTATCAACTTATTCCAATGAAGAGGTGGTGCCGCTAGAGAATATTGAGTATTCAGTTCATGTTAAGTGGGTTTGAAAACTCTTTTGCTCTTAGTAGAAGGAAGTTCTTTATTATACACTATTAGCATAAATAAAGCAGATGTTATTCGGGTACTAGAAGATAAATAAGTCACTAGGGCCTATTGGTATCTTGCCAATTGGAAATGAGATGTTATTCACAAGTCATTGATGCAATTCATCCAACAGTCGCTCAAAACATTGGTAGTATGCAGGGATTGGAGCATTGCTAATGCAGTGCCCTTTATAAGAATGGTGACAAAATTGAACCAAGTAATTATAGACCAATAAGTCTGACGTCTATTACATATAAAGTAACAGAATCAATTACACAAACTAAATAAGGGCATACCCTATCTGGTTATAAAATCCCAGAAAATAGTCAACATGGATTTAGAAAATGAAGGTCTTGTCTAAAAACTCTTGTTAAGAGTTGGTTAACAAAGTATGACAAAATATTTTAATGTAATGTATTCACGAAGAGAATATAGTATGATGTATTCCAATTTTCAGAAGACTTCTGCTAAAGTTGCCAGATAAAAGATTACAAATTACAGGTAAAGAATTCAGGAAAATGTGTTTACATGGTACTGGATAATGAGAAATAAAGAGTATTGATAAGGGGTAGATGTTAAAATAGGAGGATTAATTAACACTGTTGAAGCAACAGCTGAAATTCAAAAGAATGAGATAAACTTAGAGACTAGACAAACACCTGGCAAATGAAGTTTAATTAAGTGCAGGGTTTGCATACAAGTGGTAAAAACATAAACTAAAAATATAAAATGGAAAACACTGAGCTGGAAGAGGCTACTTGTGAAAACAATATTGGTGTTGAAGTTGACATCTTACATTTTTCTGACAATGTGGGAAGGCAAAACAGTCTAGTGTGGAATTCAGTCACAGGGTTTTGTTACGATTGTAAATAGTAAAGCCTGTTTAGAATAATGTGCACAATTTTGGTCACCATGTTATAGAAAAGCTATTGGTGCTTTGGAATCAGACTGGGGAAGAGCAACCGGATGTATTTGGGAGCTTAAAGAAATACCCTAAACTAATAGCTTGAAGGAAATTGACCTTTTTAGTCTTGAACAGAGAAGAATATTAGTAGTCAAATTCGCAAAGGCATTGACATATTCAACCCAGCAGATGTCTTCAGAATGAACAGTGAAATATCACCCAGAGGACACAAGTGGTAGACCAATGGCCAGATTATTAAGTTCTTATCTCAGATTCCAGTTATAATTGGAGATCTTAGATCTTTGATCTAATGCCTTGGTCTGAATCATGTACCTTACATTTGTTAGATCTTGAAGAATATTTGTGGATTGTATGACCATTTAGTGTTTAACAAGTACACTGATCAATGTGGGAAACAGATACACATGTACTGTATGTGAAAGGTCTTTGAGTTTTTTTTTTCAATTTTAGTCTACAGTACATTTACTGTCAAATTTACTGGAAAATGTAATATGAATGTTCCCACTGCTACAAACAATCTACTGACACTCAACATTTTTTTATTTCTGTTTACATTTTATTATTTGAAAATAAAAAAAGACATTTAACAAAAGTTACAGTAAATAATAAGCATATGGACCTGGTCATGGTCCATTTAATGCCTGCAAAGCTAATTTGAGACATCAATAGTTAAACTCTCTTACTACATACCCATGTAGCCAAGTCAATTAATTAAAATCCAAGCTGTTTATTAGGACATGAACATCATTATACATGTATTGATTATTGATTTTGATTTGCAAAGCTAAGTAGCTTTGAAATATAGTACAATCATTGAAAGCTCTTAATAGAACAATCCAGTTGAATAACAGATGACATAGACCACCAAACTGAATGATACTATTGATTGCATATTATACAGCATTAGTTAATGCATTGATGAATGGCATTTTACATGTTATTGGTTATATATATGTATCTGATAATCAATAATGACATTTTATGGTACTTTTATAGATCATATGCTTTCTTGTGATCTTAGGATACATGACAAATATTGAAAAAAATATTTTTTTCAATAAAAAATAGGCAAGTGTTGTACTTAAGCTATTTGAGCCAAACATATAGGAGTTAAAAAGCCTATAACAGTTCTAAGATAAATTGTATCATAGAAAAATGTTAGTATATGTCCCTCTTTCACAATAGCCATGTTAATGTCAAAGATTAGGTGAATTGTTAGCAAAGAGTTATGAACTTTAAGAGTCACTGAACAGAAAGTTACCAAAAGCCTAAGTACCATTTTCCATCCAGCGTTCCTTAGATTACTTTAACAAATGAGTTGAAAATCATGGTTTCTTAACATAAACAGAGAAAACAGCTATAGTTTATTACTCTTCCTTGCTCATCTTCATTATTCATTGTGAGTTGTATTACCAATGAAACACACACACTGTGTGTACATCATTTGGGATGTCTGATCTTTAATGTTTGTCCCAGAGGCATCACTAATGGATTGGAATGGCATCCAGAAGAAATAAATTGAAGAAAAGAAGGAATCAATGGTTAACTCATGACCAAACATGCCTTTTAACCTATGCCAGACTTACCTTTTCCTTTTTTCCTTGAGCATTATTTGATTGTTATGCATTTTTATGCAAAATTGCAAGGGTTTAGACTACAAATGAAGTCCTTTAAGTCATACATAATGAAGAAATACATACTGAGAGAATGGATTTGCGCTATACTGAAAACAACACCTACACATTCAGTTTTGGAAAACAAAGGAAGAAATGAATACATAATGCAAATTGCATATTATAACTGAATATTCTGGTCTGAAAATGAAATTTTTCCTACATATTATATTGATGTGATAAAAAGTCATTAAAACCCTTCAGAAAACACCACAATGCCTCAAGACCTGTCTTAGTATGCACAGTGGATACTATTGTAACGCTATAAACATGCAGTTAACACAATGGCAACCACTGTTTCTTCAAGAGCAGTAAGATAGATATTATCACAAAATGATTGCAGCAGGGCAGAAACTCTTGCTTCATCCTATTTGTTTAGTTTGCTTTACTCAGCACATGTAACTGAGGAGCTAAGGTGAGTTTTATTTCACGTTTGGCAGTTATTACCTGTAATTATGTCATTTATAGGCCTTGATGTGGTTGTGGCCTGACAACCAATGGCATTGTAGCATGTCAATATAATATATTAGGTAACATTTCATGTTTACACAAAAGCTAACAAACTGTAAAGCCATATTTTCATTATACTGTTTGACCACGTTCTTCACTATTTCCATAATTATGTACAGTGTATAAAGAAACAGTAAAAGTAATATGTTTTTCAGTATATTCTGTAGTTTGGAAAATTGTGTATTTGAAGTAGATATGTATAGTATGCTGTAAACATTACTTTGGAGTAGTATTATATAGTATGATAGGAGTATAATAAATATGTGTTTGTATTTGTGTTTGATACATCATAACCTTTAAATAATGACCTGGAAATATATGAGCAATGTTTTATGTAGCTTTATTGCTTGTTTTCCACGTACGGCCGACATTTCTGACGTAATGTGGAACAACAGTGAAGGCTGTTTCTTAATTTAAGAGCGTGGAACATGTTCTTTTCTGTGGTGACAATTATCCACCCTGAAATGGTAATCCTCTGTTTAATGTGCTGGATTAAAGAGAATTGTAGTAAATTTGCAAAAATTCACACAGCAGCAGGTGAGAAGCAGGTGCTGTGAACTCTGTACTGGGGTTTTTGTCTAAGACTGGAACCCTGTGCTGATGAGGAAGCAGGAAACCTCAGAGAGGCTTGGATCAGTGGCAGTTCAAGTTCTTAATGATGTCAGTGACCAGACAGAATTATGGGATTACACAAGGCAGAGCGGGCAACCCAAAGCAGAGGCATCAGTGGAGCTAATGAGTCATGCAAAGTCACTGAGAAAAACACAGGGTACAGGTTGGCTGCTAGTGCCTTGTTACCATAATTAATTAGTTTTGTTGTATCGGTAGGTGATCTCTCATTCACAGCAATGGATCAACATAAATATGAACAAAACATATTTTTCCACAGTTTTATAAAACAAAGGTGTAAGAGTTTTGGGACTAAACCTAGGTGTTTCTGCTCTAAAGGGTGTAATTTTTAATTATTAGGCATTGGCAGTGTAGTAATGTTCTTTCAAAATAATTTGAAAAACTCTGAATGAAATTCAAGCTCACGAATCAACGTTTTAAATTGTTTCTATCAATAGTAGTTTTAAGACTCTATTTACCCATGATAAATAAAATAAGCTAAAGTTTTTCCTTGGTAAATAAATTAAGAATGGGTCATGCTAAGGGCATTTTGTCTGGATATTTATTTTGGCTGTCAAAATTACAGGGAGTGTATTTCATTTGACGGAGCAAAGGCAGAAATACCAGTGGATCCAAAGGTAGTTCTACAGTATTTAACTGTTAAAAAAAGAAATAACGTTGTTTGCTTCTTGTAGTCAATTGTATTTTTCCCAAACTGTATAATGACACTTTTGGATTGTTACGTTCTTTTGTCATCTTTGATGGCTGCAGACAGTGTCTGAGCTGAAAGTCAAGATTTAAACTGACCACAATTTATGACAACGTTGGATCTTTTTGACATGATCTGAAGTGTCCTTGAGTTCAGTTTTCTTTAGTGACAAAGATTCACAATTCTGTGCACAATTCTTGCATTTTTAAGGAAACTTCACCTTCCTTTAGGGTCTGCCCACCACACACATAAAAAAAACTAAAAAGCAGTGCACTGACTGGGCTGTTGCAGTACACCAAACATGGAATTCTATATCCTATTCTATATATTCTATACCAGCAAGAAAAACTGTCTCTGGAATTTCCTTTTTCTGTCTTACTCAGAGATTTCTGAACCACCTTTAATGTCTTTATGCACATCAAAAGGATAATTTAGAACAGTCAAAGTAGACGTAGAACTGTCAAAGTACTGATATTTTTTTTTATTCTGAAACTGATTTTTTGTGTTAAAGAATTATAGCAATTTAAACTGATTAAATTATTAAATGAGCTAGTAAAAGACATTGGGTAGGAAGCTGCATCAGTGTTTTTTGTCAACAAAAGAACAAGTAAATTGTGCGATAAATTCCATTCTGAAAGACAAAAACAAGAAGTAAAGCTGATGTTTTTGTTTTCACTTTCCAGTGTGTAAATAACTTCTATTTATTCCTTTAAAAGTCTTGATATTTATTATTTCTTATTTTAGCATTTTAACTAAATATTTGTGAAGAAATCAAGGACACGTTAAGATTTTAAAATTAGATTATTAAATACAAAACTAAGCATATTTTAATCTCCCGGATAAATGCTAATTTCCCATTAAAAAACAGCACTATATATTTAAACATGATTTCTTGCTTCTAATTTCTTTGTAATATATCATATATACAGTACAGAGAAGCTTCACGACCCGTCATATTTGATCCAAGTATCTCAATCCATCATTTCTTGAAACAGGCTCTAGTAGTGGCTCTTAAACTTTACTGCAGCCTACTGTACACCCTTCTGGTTCTCAAAATATTTTCTCTTACCCTGTATCAGAAATCGTTGAGTAGGTCAGTTCTTTAAACCTAAGAAATACCATTACTATTGAATGAAAGAGATAGAAACTTTTAAAGTTTAGCTTAAAATACCTTGGTTTGATTAAACAAAGTAGTTATGTGCCTGTGCTGAATTTGTGTTTGTGATGATTTACCTTCTAAAAAAATCTGGTGTCTTGCATCCCCAGAGGATGTGTGCACTCCAGGTTAAGAACCACTGAGCTAGAGTACTGGCTTCAACATATGGCTGGGTAGCTTGTTGCAGACCCCCACAGGCCTTTGTGTGAAAATAAAACTGTCTTGTTCTCAGTTTTAAAACCACTTCCACATAGTTTGCAGTTGTCTACATTGGTTTGTGTTTGACAGTTTGAAACTCATTCTGATTCTGAAGAAGTCCATGGGGTTGGCTTTATCAATGCCTTTTAAAATGTTGAATACTTGAATCAGGTTCCTTTATAGTCTTCATGTTCAAGACTAAAATAATTTGGAATTTTAGCCTCTCGGTGTAAGGCATTCCTTTAAAGGGGAGCCGCAGTCCTAGTTTCTCAGACCTTTCTTACTAAATTTCAGTAACAAAATAAATTCATTAACGTTATAGAAAGAAATTACAAATTTAGAATTAAGCAAAAAAAAATGAATTGTGAACTTTGTAAAAGTACTGTAAGTCACCATTTTGTTGCGAACTCGCATTCGAGTTCCCAAGAACTGCAACATGATGTGGCCCTTCCTGCTCACTAGTCTCCATCATGACTAATGTGATGTACGATTGAATAAGTACAAGTCATGCAGCAGACATTTCACCACAGAAATGTTCCAAAGTGACCTGCATGCAGAGTTCACAAGTAAGTAGTATTTGTGGGCAAAACAGTTTTGAAATCAAAAGCAATATTTCTATTGGATTAAAAGAAATGTATTCACAGTCCTGCTTGTTTACAATGTCATAGGGCCATGCACGTCACAGAAGGTTTTGTGGTTTTGTTCTGAATTGCAGAACATGGCACTGCACATGCCTGGAAATTTCATCTGTTTTGTGATGTAAATTGGAGGTTTTGCTGTGTACATTTGACTTTTATTGTGGTTTGAAATGCACTCGTCAGTGCGGATTCTTTTTAACACCAAAATATTAAAATAGTATTGTAGTTTCCCTTTAAGTCCAGGAATGTATCTTTTAAAGAGATGGCCACCAATACGTGATACAATAAATGAGTAATGCAGTAGTTACTAATGAGTGCAATGTATACGTTTAACACATTATGTATTGATATATAAATATATATAAATATAAAATATATATTTTAACATTTTGCCCTTTTCACTTCCAAATACTGTCTGATTTCCAGAGTTCTTATTTTTTATTTACATAATAATGAATAATGAATTCCATCTATTATTTAATTTCCTTTGTAAATCCACCTTCTGCAAATTCATCTTCATCTGCAAATTTGACCAGTTAACAGAATCTAGATTATTGATATGATTAAGAGTCCTGTAATTTTCCTCTTATTACATCATCACAATGTGAGCATTTGCCCCTTATCAGTACCCTGTTTCCTATTTATTAAGCAGTTCTCATTCCAATCATGTTTCCCTGAATGTCTCCCAACTGTAATTTGAGATTATTTTATGATGAACTTTATTAAACCCTTCTGGAAATCTAAATACACCATATCATATGCTCTGTGAGTCCTTTGCTATTGAAATTTGTTTAAAGATCTCCAACTCTTATTTATTTTAACAACACCTACTGTACCTTTGCTAAAACCAAGTTTTAAATTATCCTTTTTCCATACAGATTATCCTTTACCTTAGGTATAATTTTTGTTTTTGTAAATTTACATATAAATTATAATAGAAGTAAAACCTCTTCTTGCATGATTAGTTGGTTCACATCTGTTACCCTTTTATGAATGAGCTCTACTTTAGCAATTTTTCAGTCAGTGGGAAATACTGTAGCTGTCTTGAGCGATTGTGGGAAGATTTGTATTAATAGTCTATGGATATCATCTCTAGTTCCTGTATTTCTTCATATATCTTAGCATTACAGTTTAAAAAAAATGAAAAAAGACTTTAATACTAAATGTTTTATTTTTTCATTTTACTCTTAGAAAACAAATCCCAAAGGTTATCCAAAATTAATTCGGACATTTAAGCCTCAAGATATGGATGACACCAATGGCTCAAGATTGAGACCACATCTTCAGCGCCTGTGGAACACATTAAGGGACAATATTGAGACTCACTGGACTCAGTACAAGGCCCTGACAAGGAAGAAGACTCCCCAGGTAAGATGCTGACAGAACATTGGAGTTGTAGTTCAGACTTCCCTTTAGTAGAATATTTGTGGTGAACAGCACTCTTTTAACAGTCCATATAGGCAAAAGGCATGGCATTCATTGTGAAAGTTAAAACAGGCAAACAAAAACCTGCAAGCAAATGATACTTTTAATTAACATTGCTGTGAACCAAAGGAGTTTATAGTATTTTACATTATACTTCAGGTATATTATGTAGTTACAAATGATAAGACACCATTGGGTTCATCTACATGTTACTAGTTGAAAATAAGAATGTAGTTAAAAAGTAGGGTTCAAAGTTCTAGCTTTAACCAAGAATACGTTTCACAAAGTCCTTTCCAGTCCACTTTGATACACTGCTGTAGTAATACCATTTTTTTATATCATTATTAATGCTATACGGGTGCTGGTTTGATTTTTCTAAGCAATAAGAAATAACAGTAAACTGCGAGGTTAGTTGCATGGCCACTGGGAATCGGTCAAGCAAAACAAATGGTGGCACAAACAAATGAAGTCCAATGACATCATACAGTTTTATGCATACTGGTTATTGCAAAATAACCAAAACTAAGGTGAGCAAGTTAATAAATCTGCCATAATATGCAAATTGTTGATCAGTTATTCAAGAATTACAAGAGAATATTAAGAAAGTTAAGATCTGATGACTATAACTAGGTTAGTAGTCCACAGTCTCATATACAGTACACATTCACACACTCTAAAGAGAAGTAACATTCAGTTACTATACTTGATTAATACTTCTCAAACGTGCTCAGAAGAAGAGATTGCTACATGAATATTAATACATATACTCATCTGACTTTTACGCTGGCCAGGTGTAGCTCAGATGACGTTTGAAAAGCCCACAAGGACAGAGAGGATTTCAGGACACATGTTTTTTGTTGGTTGTGTGCCAGGATTGTCCTATTGAGCAGAGAAAGGAAAGAATACAGTACCTTACTGGTGTCTTGCTAGATACAGTATTGGCTTTACTAGAATGTGTGAGTCTGGATTCTTGTCCAGTTGCAAGCCAAGACTGTGGAAAAACTCTAAAAGTTCTCTTGCCTGCGGTCGTACCTGGTATGCTGAATATCCGTTGTTCCAGAGAAAGTCTTAGGTGGATATCTGTTCCTTATACAGGTTGTCTCTGTATATGGAAGTTACATTTGGCTAAGTTTCTTTGCAGTTAAGCTGTTCATAGTGCGTGTTTCTATCTGTATCTTCCCCAAGATGGACAGATGCCTTGTCAAGCATTTATCCTGCCATGCATCTGTTGCTTGCTGGGAATAGCTCCAACCAGCACCCCTGTGACCCAGTATTGGATAAAGAGGTTAGAAAATGGGTGGGTGTATGAGACTGATGTACAAATAAAAATACACACAGATATGTCCAGATGTGAGACAATATTTCAGCCTGTTGTGGTTCAGTTTGGACATTTGTGCCGGGAACTGTTTTCTGTTTTAATCTTTTACTTCAGTTTTTAAGCATCTTAATCTACTTTTGACCATTACAATTGCAAACATAATAAATATGGCATCTTTAACAGATCAGTACATCTTACAAGAAACACTTTCAATGAGAAACAGAACACAAAAACAATCTATACGTTAATTAAGCCAAGAATACCATTGTTCAAGAGTGATACACTTTCCTGTGGTGAAAACAGATCAAGAACTTTGGCGGTTGCATAACTAAAAAATAAACAGTGTTTACTGTATCCCTCCAGCTATTAACAACTTTTTGCAAAACACAGTTGAAGGATGTAAAAATATTGAAACTACAAGTTAAAGAGCACCACATGATCACCTATTTCAAACAACCTTTGCACCTAAATACCCATTTAAACAAATTACTATACATTTGTGTTTAATTTTTGGGTCAGTAATCTTTTGCGACACACGCTGGTCATCTCTGGCCCATATCATGTAAAGTATCAACTGCCTGTGACTGTTACACCTTTACATGCCTCACAGCTTGAGGTCCTTCTACATGCTCAAATTTGTAGAGGAGCCCTTCAAATGTAATAAAGTGACCAAAGACTGGGTCAAAGCTCCTTCAGGGCTATGTAGGCTGATTCATTAAAAACCCTAACCCTTCCTAACAGTAACAGTTCAAGACACAGGTACTGAACACAGGGGAGATGTTAGGTTGAGAATGTAGGTCAAAACAATAGGATATTTCTTTCTTCCTTGTCAAAAAAATTCTGGTTATCATTTTTATTGACATACACATTAAATGCTATGAATGGTGTCTATATTTTTAAATACTTCAAAAAAATGCAACAGACATTTTATGTTGAGAAGTGTGTAAAACAGATTGGCAAAACTCAGAACGTTAATAAAAAGTGTGACTGAACTTAAAGGAGAAATATGAAATTGTCATGACATGAATTGTCAAGTGTAGCTCTTGTTTTAACAAGAATTATTCTTTCATTTCTGACTTAAGTTTCAAACCTATGTTTGCAGCTGGATTATTAAAGTAGAACGGTGCTTTTGGATGATTTATACTGTACCTCAAAAGTAGGATGTCTGTCATGTACAGAGAATGCAGTCCATGGTGTTATTTAACAGAATTTCAGTCGAGGTCAAGTATAATTACACACTTCTGTTTATGTATACAACAATACTATTAGAAGTTGAATTGCTTTAAGTTTGAGTCTTCTTTATTCACTTGTTAAGCTTGCTTGTTTATTAATTATTGTAGTGTTTATTTAAATTAATAATTTATCTGGTGGACATAAACATCAGTATGAATAGCTTGTTATGAATTATATTAGGATTATTAGTACACAAATCTATATTTTCTGTTCAATGTAATCTTGATAACCATTTGCTGACCTCTCTTACTGCAGTCTTGACAATTATCTTCTTTCTTGCTTTCACAGGTTCAAGGGTTTCTTATTTTACTGCTCTTGATGCTGTCTACATAATGCAATTGATAGCAAAAAATGAGACCTACAGTATAACCTATGATCTGGACCTTATTCCTACTGTACATATTCCTTATTCCCAGCTAGTTTCTCTGCTTTGTCCATCTTTACTAATCTCATTAATCACCAAACGTTTGCTGCTCATCACATGTTCAGAAAATGACCTGGACCCCTTCATACTTTATAATTACCCCCCTATTTCCAATAGGCCTTGTCTCACAAACATTCTGGAATGGGTGGTGGTAGCTCACTTAGTCATACAATCTCATCTCACATCTTACAAGCTTATTGAACCTGTTCAGTTAGGGCTTAGACAGAGACACAGTACTGAACAGCTCTTGTTAAGGTAAAGATTTGCTGATGGCTTCTAACTAGGGTAACTTAATTTTATTTTTTTCCTTCTGGGCATGAGCACTTTTGGTACTCTCAATCATGGCATCATAGAGCGATAGTAAAAATGGAGTAACTAGTACGTCCCTTTATTAGATTGGTTCCTAGTTGACTACCAAGAGTCAATAAATTATACATGTACCTGTTTTCATCACAATATTATCCCATTTAATCAGGGTGTTTTCTAGATTTCTTTGCTGGAGCCTTTACCATTTAGTATTTACATGTTGCCTCTTGGTTTTACTTGTAATTTCACAAAGTCAATTTGCTGTGCTTCCTCTTTTTCTTGTTGCTTCTGTTCTGTATTATGTGTTTATTATTGTACAGAGCTTTGGGTTTGCTGAAAAAAAAGTTTTTTTATTATTAGAATACATATATATTTCTTTATACTTATGCTATAGTTGATTCTGTAACTGCGCTGACAATTAATAAAAACACATTCATCACAGGAACTGGTTTCATGGGGAACACGCCAAATCGTTTATTAAATCCTCCCCTTTGCCAAAGGAGAGCTCCGAAGGAAAGTGGTTGACTATGCTTTCTTCTTTCTCAAGCTCCGGTGGATGGACTTGGTTCTGGTGAGGTACTTAGCTGCAGAGCCAAAGCTGCGCTCCGTGACGGACAGCCTCCCGGCGTTCTTGCAGTTGCAGAGCGGCCCGGGTTCGAGCGTGCGGGCTCGGCTGCTCAGCCGCCCACAGCTGCTCCGCGCTCTCAGCGCAGACCTGCGCAAGATGCAGGCGCTCAGACGAGTCAGCAAGTCCCACGAGCTCCTGAGGAAGGAAATAGCTGAAAAATAATCGACGCTCCACTCCTTACTGTTTGTTTCTTGCTCTTTACTTTCCTCTAAATCATTATACCCTAAGGAAGGGCTCTGTCCCTTCACATACGGCAGCATTGTTCAGCAGCTCCTTCTCATGTCAGCACAAGCATAAAGCCTGTTACTTACAGACACGATGGTAATGGGTGGTGACTAAGTACATTCACACCTTAGCAGACTTAAAAGCATTTTTTTCCCAAATATTAAATACCCTGCATATATAAAGTATTAACTTTCAGGACTAAAGGGCTGAATTGTAAAATCTTAATTTTACAGTGATGAAGGATCTGGCATCAACGTCAGATTCCATTTAATGCCAGCTAGAATGTGATCATTAGAAGAGAAAATCAATTTGTGACGAACTAACATTTTAAAAGGCAACAACTCCCTAAACAGACGTTACTTTTCTTAACTCTCAGGAACTATCACATTGCGTTATAGCTCAAGGAAAATAGTAATAGCCAGTTTCTTGTACCATATATACTTTTATGTAATTGAAATGATCATATGAGTAAGAATGATTTGAAAAATCTGTATTGTCCTGTCATTTGCCATGAAGTGGTTATTTTAAATCAGTTTTAATGAAATAAGATGTTTTCTTTCTTCCATTAAATAAAAAAAATAATACTCCTGTTTAAGTTACATTGTCTCACAAGAATAATACTCGTTGTCTTTTTTTAAATGTACTGAATGAAATGAATGGTTATTTAAGTATTTGTGATTGTGATACTTTTGTTTTATGACAAAATACACATTGTGGTGCCTCATACTTAAGCCAAAGGTAGATCAAAATCTCTCTGTCAGCTGCAAAGAAGCTTTAAAGAGATCACAAATACAGCAGCACATTCAATGCAAGGCCCTTCTTCAACTGTTGCTTGGTCACTTTACCTGTTTAAGAAAAATTATTAACTGATTTGTACGAGACTAATTTTAGTTGCAACGGTTAAATGCGGTAACCTGCTGGACAAATAAACTCTTTTCAGTCATGGTGGTCATGTGATGTATTTTAAAAGAAAGTTCTTTTCATTTTTAAGAAATCTTTTTTTTTCACCTCAGTGCCAATGCTGTGTTAAGGGATGAGAGTTGACCCAAATACATTTTTTTTTCCTTTCTGCAGTCTGATAGACACCATGGGTCAGTAGGCTTTACTTAGTTATAGCTCGCTGGTGCTGAAGCTTAGAGACTGACACTGTCCTTAATGATGGGTCTGGGGCTGGGGCATTCCAAGACTGCCCTGGATTTTCACCAAGAGGAGAAGAAAAGGCTCTTTGTGTGAACAGCACAGAGCCTGGGCTCAGACATGTTAGTGGATACTTAACACCCCAAACCACTGCTTGAACTGTTAGGGATCTTCAATAGCCCTGGGATCATCTTAGAGAGTTATACAGCCCACTTAGAAAATTAAATCCTCTAACTTCCATGCTCCTGAAGGGTGTTCCTATTCCTCCATGCTTTGCATTCTATAACATATTTGATGAAGGAAAACTGTCTTTTTAACATCCACAAACACACGTTTAAAATATCTTTTTATAATTACAGCTCAGAGCAAGATTTAAAAATAGCTTTTTTTTCTATATATATACACATTCTGTATATACGGTCTTAGTTAAAGGCATTTGAAAGTATAATTAGGGAACATAATGCCACAAACAATGCCAGAAATAGACTGGTAAAATCTAAGAGCCCACTTAAACTCTTAAAATATGGATGTCAGTAGAAACACTTAAAACTTTGTAGTATTTACATTTCCTCTAAATACTAAGAACTTTGGAGGACATTGTCCATTATACATGACACCCACATGTTGTTTCTGTTGCTGTTTTGGTGATATCTAATATTTTAAGTGTCCAAATACAGTATGTTTGTGTTTATCTGAATTCCAGAGCTCAAACAAACTTTGCAGTGGTCAAGAAAGGGCTTATAGCAATCTGTAAGGATCTGCATTTAAAATAACTCTACAGGAAAGACGACCATCTCTACATAGCTAAGGAAATGAAAATGAAAACAGGTCATATCACACAGAAGACAACAACGTTATATACAGTAAACAAGAGGTTAGGGCCATAAAGAAAGAACTATTCATAATGACCTATTAATAAGTCACCTAAAAGATCTTAAAACAAGCAGAAGTGCATACACTTGCTACTTTAAGGCAATTAACAGGCAAGAAAATAGTTTGTAGATGTGAAATAGTGAGATAAAGTACAGCATCCATAATATGTATTAAAATGTTGCTATATCACAATTCCTTTCACTGATAATTTCATTCTTTTTGGTAAAATCTTTTTTGTCAAATTCCCAGGACAGACTTTGAAAGTTCTTAAGATATTTAATCTTGATTTCATTGTCCCAGCTGTTAGATTAGGAAGTTAAAGCATCAGTAACAGGACTGTCTAACAGTTTTTAGGTCAAACAACATCAGAAACCTAAGAAAAACACCTTAGTGAAATTGAGACCTGTCTCTTAATTTGAAACTGTCTCCTAATTTAAAGCACCTTAAAGATATGTTTCAACACGATAGATCTGCCGATGCGCCATTATGACATATATACTGTAGTTGTATGAGCCATATGACATAGTAAACCTCATTTAGAATATTGAATTTGTGTACGATTTCCATCACCACAGTGCACAAAAAGATACTGCTGCCAAATGCAGAAAAGAATGAGTACTCATAGACTTTAAGAAATATCCTGCTCCTGCTAAAAGAATCAAATCGTTTTAGTTTTGGACAAACTATTGCAATACCTCGTCCATGTATTCATATAAACTGGCAATGTCAACTGAATGGATGTCTTAAGATGCTTTTTTACACAAATTGAGTGACCCAGCCAAGTTATCAAAGTTCATACCTTGGCTTTTTTCAAGAAATGCCAAAATGAAACATTTGGATCAATTAGCTTCCAGAAACCAAACACGCCTGTCGGTGTTACAGTATGTAGAAGGGAATGGTTTGTTCAAGAACAGGTTATCCTGCTCCACTGGCCTTTCACGTCTGCTAACTTTAGCCTAAAGAAATATCTATCGTCAATGACAAGTGAAAGTGAAAAGACACTTGGAGTAAGTGCTCTTCAAGGACAGGACAATGACATAGGAATAATAATAATAATAATAATGAATAATTGCTTAGGCTTACATAGCGCTTTTCTGGACACTCCACTCAAAGCGCTTTACAGGTAATGGGGACTCCCCTCCACCACCACCAATGTGCAGCTCCACCTGGATGATGCGACGGCAGCCGTAGTGCGCCAGAATGCTCACCACACATCAGCTATCAGTGGGGAGGAGAGCAGAGTAATGAAGCCAATTCATAGATGGGGATTATTATGGGGAATGGGGAATGTCCAACACATAAGAAAGGTTTCAAATGGGAGAAGGCCATTTGGCCCCCATCTAGCCCATCTAGTAGTTAGTAGCTACTTGGTATTTATACAGTAATAAAGTAATTAAAGTAATACATTTCTTTGTAAAAATCCAGAGCATTGGTTTCAACAACATGTGGCTGGGCAGCTTCTTCTATACTCCCAAAACGCTCTGGGTAAAGACAAGCCTCCTGGTTTGGGTCTGAGATGCACTTTCATGTAGTTTCCACTGCTGCCCCTTGGTTTGTGTTTCACTGACATCCTGCCACTAAGAGCTATGACAGTACTACAGTTCTGGCAGACAGAAGTTACTGTACATTAAATCTTGTTTTTACTGTCAGCATCAAATTTCCATAAAAAAACAATACTACTGACTTCTACCCAAATTGATGCCGAGTAAACAGAGTTTCACTATCAGGCCAGTATTTTTGGCTGAGACTCAACAGTAAATTAATTTTACTGTAAAGTTCCTAATTTCAATATTTTTTTCTTATGATTATCTAGGTATAATCAGATCTTGTATAGAGCCTCATACAGATTCAATAAGAAGAGACAGTGCATAGAAACTGGCAAAAATACTGCCTTCTTAACTAAATAGTGTGGGGAACCCCACCTCAGGCAAGCAACACATCTTAGTGTGACCACTGCCCTGCAGCTCAGCATTTCATCTGGGTGACAACAAAACCCTAAACCTAATCTTCTTTAATTATTAATGTGCTATGACAACTTTAAACCATTGTTATCAGATTGGAATATCTCCCAAGATGTTTGGGAGGTTTTAATCCCACACACGTTCAATATATGAAAATTATTATTTTAAAAGTCTGAAATTAGAAAGTTCGGACCGGCACACATGAAATCCTACGATTTCCTCTCTGAAAAGACAAAATCAGTGTGTTTCCAGCAGCTGTTCACATTCCCCACTTTAACATGCTACATTTGGAGTGTGAAGCTGTGTTCTGTTTTTGAATTAAAGAGGAGTACAGGAATGAGGACCAATCAGAAGAAAACTGGGGTTCAAAACATAACTACTCTCATGTTTTACATGCTGCTTCTACGTAGTGTTTAACCCGCAGATTTTTTATTAAATA